TTAATATCTGAGGGGGTATGTGGAATTAGCATTCCAAATACTGGATACAATAACTGCATTACTCTAGAGTTTATTTTGAGCTAGTGGATGAATTAATGATATAAAACCTAGAATAAGGACTCCAGAATTCCATAATCCCTTTTTGAAATAAATAAATAGTTAAACATGCTTTTAGGAAGACTAAAGAGATACAATTTGAAGGGAACAAAGTAGGTCAAATACCACATTCTTCACATAGTCCAATCCCTACCAGCTGACAACTCTCATTGTTGGCCTTGTATCATGAGATCCTTCAGACACAGCTTTCCTTGTGCGTGAACAGATTCTGAGGAGGATCCAAGCCTCCGGGTCCAAGTTGAGGAGACGTCTCCGAATAGAATACCCATACCTTTGCACTGGTACAGTTTGTTTCCATTTTTGCATCTTAAAGGCACCTTGCATGCACCACAGTAAATGTTATTAGTTGAAGAAAATGCACCAAAATATATTTTTTGTTCTCTGCATTATTTTACTTGAATATTATTTAACACAGTTTTGTATTCCAGTTTCTTTAATAAGAACATTTTATATTAATGTAAACTCTTTATCAACTTGAATTTTGATACCTACGTTATAATTCATTGACTGAAATTGCCATGGGTAACTGTGCCCCACAGTTAGTCATGTGGTTTGCCAATGACTTTTCACCATTTTAGGAACTAGTCTTGAGATGAACCTCTTAGCACAGAAAGTACTTTGGTCTTGACTTACATGCTTATATAGCGCTCATTGATTCCTTTACCAATACTGAATGTGGAGTCAGTATTGCTAAGTGGTCCATTGATGAGTGCTTTCTTCTTTTAGAGAATTCACTGTTCATTTAGTAGGGTCCAGATAATAGTAAAATCACTACACAAAGTGATATGGGAAGATGTAAAAAGCTTTCCAGGGCTATGCCTAGGTGCAAAGGCACTCAGGTTTGTGAGAATGTTTATTTCTGGGGTGTAAAATACGAGGATCGAGGAGTGGGAAGTAATTTGACCATTTTCTACTTTTTATAGAAAGAAGCTAGTGCATGAAAGTCCTTGAGTGTTATGCTAGAACTCAAGTTAAATTTATCTTGGAAGTTATGGGATCCCATTAAACTACTTATGTGCATGGAAATGATAAGTTCAGTTTGGATTATATATTGGGTGTTGAAAACAATACAAAATAAAAATATTTTCACTAAAAAAAAGATGAAATAGTCATTTTAATATTAAGCCCAAGCCCTGAGGGAAACTTTTTACAGAAATGTCAAAAAATGACTAAGAATCAAATGGAATGCACAATTTTGGAAGTTGACCAAGTTAGCAATTGTATGCCTAAAGAAACCCCTGCATTTTACATATTTCTAAGGAGTGCTCAGAGAAGAGCACTTCATCCTTATGAAAATATATTTACTTTTGGGTTACTTGTTTGCTGGCCATTGTGAGTTCAATAGAAAATAAATAGATAATTTGAAAGAAAATGATAAAGCCCAATGACTATATATAATCTCTGTCTTGTAGAGGTCCACAGTTTTATTTAAAAGTTTGGAACAGGGGCGCCTGGGTGGCTTGGTCGGCTAAGTGTCCGACTTCAGTTTAGGTCATGATCTCACTGCTCATGAGTTCGAGGCCCGCGTCGGGCTCTGTGCTGACAGCTCAGAGCCTGGAGCCTGTTTCGGATTCTGTGTCTCCCTCTCTGATCCTCCCGCGTTCATTCTCTGTCTCTCTCTGTCTCAAAAATAAATAAATGTTAAAAAAAAAAGTTTGGAACATCTAATAAGATAGAATTTCATCTACATATACTGAAGCACTGAACACATTCCCAAGAATGTGTTTCCACATTTATGGTGCCAGTTCTAGAAATGTGATCTATGTGGATAGAATATAGTTTTATTAAAAATATCCATTTCATGGGGTTAAATATAGAGCATAGAAAGAAGATCAGCTTGTATCTGAGACTGGAAAAGAAGGCACATGCATCTAGTCTTTGTTAAGTGTCTTCAGAGAACAGAGTCAGTAAATAAAAATTACCCTTCATTTTCAGATTTTGCCCGAATTTGGCAATGAGACCAATTGCTTAATGGTCATATTCTTGTATTCATAATTGTATTCAAAGCATCACAACTGATTTCCCCAAAACCGATTTAACGGGAATGACCTAGAGGTGAAGTTAATTGCCGTAAAGCAAGTAATACACTGTCAACAGCTTGCAGCTACTCATGGCTCAGGCGGAAAGCCAGTTACTTCATCACTTTGGGTCCGTCCCTAGGTTCCACAGTACGGGATGCATTGTAAATACTGCTATTAGATGCTAGAATGGAAATTTCCTGTGTTGGCTGGAACATAAAAATATATAAAAGAAAAAAGTCAAACAATAACATTTCCATATGGCTTGAAGATCTAGTTGTATTTTCATAGGCATAGTGTGCCTGTAGCTGAGCAATAGATTTCTTCCCCCTGATTCTATTGTTTTTGTTCAATGAAATTTTTTAAAAGTAGGGCCAAGTCTATCCTCTCTGCCAAAAAACGTATGATGTGAGCTTCCTTGCTCCAGTGTAGATGGAAATGTCCCAATTCATCATCACATGCCTTTCCACTTTCCTTGAACACCAAGGTGCTCCCTGAAATGAGATAGAAACCTATGTCTCTTTTGACATATCAACACTTGTCCTCAAAACATTTTTTTTCAATAGCTTCATATGTGAGCTCTGGGGTAGTATAACTAAAGTTATGCATTTCCTGAGGAAAGGAAAGAAATGCAGTGTAATTAGCCCTGAGTTATTTACTGCATGACTACATACGTGTTCACAAAAGCTTTCTGGATACTGTCTGTTAGTCATTTGTGTGTGCGTGTTGTATTTGGCAGAAAGCCACTCTTTAAATTAGTTTAGGCAACCACATCTATTCTGCAAAAGAGCGTCTTAGGAATTTGAAGGCCTTAAATTCGATTTTAAAACTAACATTTATATTTGATGAAAGGAACGTGTATTTTAATCCTGCTTTTAAGTGGGCATCATCATAATGTAGAAATTGTTACTTACATACGTTCGCATTATACAGAACTTGCATAATATCTATTTAATTGTGCATCAGGTCATAAAGGTGCACCTGGAACATGGGAAACTAGGAAGAAGTTACCCAAACCTCTGTGTCCCGATTATTTACACTTAGGTAACTCCTACCTTCTGAGGCCAGTTTTTTTTTTTTTCTGCAAAAAAAACGAACATAAGCCATTTCTGCTTTTCTAGCAATTTATTTGAAAATTGAAGTTGGTGGTACTGAACACTTCTGTGATTACATGTGATGCCGCACTCCACCCTTCTTGGCCTACCTGGGAATAGCCTGGACAGCCCCTAAGCATTTACCTCCAGCGTAAAATGTTGTCTTTTTTTCTAACAGTTGGCATCAGCTTGCCTGAACATGTGAGGTACACAGGTCAGGGCCAGGACTTCTGAGGCAGAGATGTTCATTCAAGCAGCTGACCATAAAGTCCTTAGCCTGGACACTGCAGTTGAGCTCACGTTCTATTTGCCAAGCTGGGAAAGGGCCTTTTACATGCCTGGCACTATGTTGTCTATATGGAGCTCCCATAGAATAAGCTGTATTGCACCGGAATTCTCCAGACCGGGAATAGTTTGGCCAACATTGTGCTAGTTGTACTAGAAAATAAAACTGAAGACCTAAATGATTTCAATAACATGATATGCAATAATCACAGATATAATTGTTAGTTAATACACACACACACATACGGGGGTGGAGAGAGAATCCTTTTTGTATACTACAAATTGTCATGGGACTATGCTCAGTGTTGTTGAGAGGCAGGTGAAGGGAAGATCCTCAAGCCCAACAACTGTTCTTTGCCTTCTACTGGGCCACCTTGTTGCTTCTCCCCATCCCCCATTCAGGTCAAAGCAAAAGATACTAAAAATTACTCAAAGTAGCTCTCTGTCTACATTCCTTCTTTTCTTCTTTCTTGATGCCAGCCTTCCCTGTCTGTCAATTAAATGACAGAATGACCTCTGTGCCACCAGCCCAGCCTGTCGTATTTGGCATGACTGTCATGAATGCTCTGAGTTTCCTAATTACCCATTGCATGACAGTCATGGGACCCTAACTAATGGCCTTTCAGTAGAGACCCAGAAGACTTGAGATTATTTTCTTAATCCTTTATGTCAAACAATAAGTTAAATTAGATTATTAAATCTTATGTAGATATTTAGACTTTTATAGAGAAATAGAATTAGCATATATTTACTAGGCTCTTTAGGTACCAGATGAAATAACGAAAATGTTGTCAAGTAAGTGTTCTTACCAGTCTCAAAGAACAAGAAATACCATACTAGTAGTCATTTTAACCTACTCTAATCAGACTTTATCATAACAGAGAAAGTAGAGAAGCCATTTTTCTGAAATCTGGTGAAAAATAGCAGGAGACCCATAGCTTTTCTTAGAGAACATCACAATGAATAGGGAACGAATATTTCTAGAATTCCTCATTGCGCTAAAACACTTTTATCAGAGACAATAAGAATAAAGGTGTGAGTTATACTAAAATATACAGAAAAGCCTGCTTTCCATAACTTACTACAGAGCACAGGTGGTACAGAGCCAAATGATAAAATACACACGCGTGTTTATGTGCTTCCATGAAAGTATACAGGTTTTTTGCAAATTACAGCTTTCCACCACTTAATGCTAAAAGATAGCGTAGTCCTTACCAACAAATCCTTAATTAATGTTTTATCAACTTATGCTGCCACAATCCCTTGGGAATGTAAAACTTGCCATTTAATTTCTAGTGAGGAAAACCTTACCATTTATCTTCCTTAAGCCTAGAGATGTATTTGCATGTAAATTTTAAATTATATCTTCATTGATATAACTTAAAATTCCTTTACAAATCTGAAAATTACAACCAGCCTATGCACACCTCCTAAGCCCATTTACATAAAGGCCTCTCATTTCTTTATGTTTGTTTGCTCTTTTCAGGAGAAAGGAAGACAACAGTGTCTTGCACAAAAATCATGAACAAAAACATCAGCATTGTGGACAACAAGAAATGCAAATACCTAACCAAGCCTGAGGCACAGATTCGCAAGTGTAATGAGCAACCATGCCAAACAAGGTAACCCTCTCCCTCCACTTGCTAATGCTCCATTTGGCCATTAAATCACTGGTCTTTAACACTGGGGCACCTGGGTGGCTCAGTCGGTTGAGCACCAACTTTGGCTCAGGTCATACTCTCACGGTTGGTGAGTTTGAGCCCCTCGTCGGGTTCTGTGCTGACAGCTCAGAGCCTGGAGGGTGCTTTGGATCCTGTGTCTCCCCTCTATCTGCCCCTCCCCCTGCTCGTGCTCTGTCTGTCTCTCTCTCTCAAAAATAAAATAAACATAAAAATGTTTTTTAAACACTCCAAATACTAACAAATCCACATTTTCCTAACAACAGTGCAAAGGAATATATACCAAGATGTAAGGTTTTAGACAAGCAAGATCTAGGAAAGAAAGATAATTGCCTGGATGGAAAGAGTATTAAAGCAGAAAGGATGGGGGGCACATGGGTGGCACAGTTGGTTAAGTGTCTGACATTTGATTTTTGGTTCAAGTCATGATTTCACAGTTGGGATCAAGCTCCGAGTCAGGCTCTGTGCTGACAATGTGGGGCCGGCTTGGGATTCTCTCTCTCTTTCTCTCTCTGCCCCTCCCCTGCTCATGTACATGCCTGTTCTCTCTGTCTCTCTGTATATCTGTCTGTCTGTCTCTCTCTCTCAAAATAATAAATAAGCTTAAAAATAAAAGCAGCAAGGCTAGGGCTTACCTCAACTTTAACTGTATTCTCCACAGGATGAAAACAACCACTAAGTGAGACAAAGGAGGTGTAATTAAAATTGCTTGGTAATCTGTTGGTCACTTCTTCAAAAACCTGACTATGGGTTGAAGTTAGCTATTTGTTCTTGAATTCTCTGAAATGGTATTGTAGAACTTGCTAAGGGAGATATAAAACAAAGCAGGACTGGCGGGACCCAGTCCCTCACGCGACACCAGGGATGGTGTGGTCCTCCTGGTTTCCCAGGCTACGTCTTCACTTCCTCTCCCAGAGCTCCCAGGGTGACTGCCCGATCCCTGACCTTCCATCGCCCAGTTCCTGAGCTGGGTCCTAGTTACTGGGCAGTCCATTTGTCTCGGTCTCCTGTGACTTCCCCAGTGAGTATGAGGCAACAAAGTAGGTGAGAAACTCTGAAGTAGGAAGTAAGACAGTGATGCTGAGCAGCTGAAAGTGGTGTAGAAACCTTAGTAACAGGCAGAGATGAAGTGGAACTGGAGTATCATTTTGGAGTGAGCTAGCAGCAAGATGGTTTGGAGTGGTTCCCATCATAGAGCTGAACGTCCACGTGTTTTCATATAAAAATTAAGGTTGGGCTTGAGTGGGACTGACCCCCAGTGTCAAAGGTCCTAAAAGCTTTCAAAGATAGAAGGATTAAATGAGTTTGAGGCTGCGTTGAATCCTCTGGAAAACAGAGACAGGCACATCTGTTCTATCCCAACACTCAGAGATCTGTTGAGGCTCAGAACACAGTTGTGAGTTCCTGGCGAGCCGAACAGAGATTGATCTCCCCTCTCATTGGCTCCTGTACAAGGGACACAGTGAATTTACATGTCCTGGAACTCAGGTGTGCAAATAATTTGTAGCTTTATAGCGGTCTATAACTAATATAATATTCTTCATGACCCTCCACTGAAATGAATAAGTATGGGGGAGCAGTTTAAAGAGGGAGGAGGAACAAAGTTGCCAATTAACTGTATTTAAACTTTTTTGTCTTAATCTCTTTGGGAATTAGTGTCATTGAGGCTAATGCTCAGTTCTTCTGGTTTCCCTGTTCCCCCTGCCTTCCCACCTCTGATGTAGCCCTGATCCTGAGTTCCCTGTATTTCAGGCTTATGGCAAAATTCAGTTATTAAGCCCTTCAGATCCAGCTCATGCTATATTAACGAGAGCTTAAAAGAATTTAGAAAATCCTTTCTTTCTTTACAATGCTGAAATGTCAAGGCTTGCTTTTCTGTAGATTCGGTGACAAAAGCTGAGTATCAGCTTTTTCTTTCCTTTCCATTTCTGCTCGAATATTCTTATTCTTCCCCAAACCCCAGGGCAAACTATGCTTCTAAGGAAAAGGACAAAAGAATGATATGTAAAAGACCATGCAAAAGATAAAAGCACATTAATATACTTCGATTGTGTTATGCCCATTCCCTCTACTTGACTGTATGTTTTTCAGGATGACTTCATGAGCAGATGAACTAATTAAGATTTTTTTACGTGGCAATGGAGTAATCAACAGGAAAAGTGACCTAGGGAATTACTGTTACCTGCAATCAAGTCCTTGACTCTCCTCTGTTCAGTGCGGGACAAATGGAACAGCAGAGTTTTTGGCCTTTGCCAAAAGAATCTGGACCATTTTTGTTATTGCCTTTCCTAAGATTTATCTTTTTCTGTGTCTCTTTTATCTTATTTTTTAAAATATTTGTTTATTTTTATGAGAGCACAAGTGGCTGAGGGGCAGAGGAGGAGGATGGATCCGAAGCGGGCTCTGCTGATGGGCTGACAAGCAGTGAGCCCGATGTGGGGCTCGAACTCACCAATGGTGAGATCGTGACCTGAGCCAAAGCCAGACACTCAACCAACTGAGCCACCCAGGCACCCCTCTATCTCTTTTAATAGATATTAAAATGCCACCTTATCTTGTGTTAAATTATTGCTAAAATATTTCAAAACTTCATTTGTTTCATATACCATATAACTTTTCCATTTGGAGGGAAGAGCATTGGCTTTTCCTGGTGTATCAGCAATCTTCGAGTTAAATATGAGGACTAGAACATGTTTGTCACTTCCTGACTTTGTCTGCAAGGGATCAGAATGTACAATATACACACCATTCATTGTTCGTTTGCTGACCTCGGCTATCTTGAGGGAAAATGCCTTGTTAATGACTTGGTAAAATGAATAGTTTCAAAGGGTCACTACATTTCTGAGTGAGAGTTTTTTGCACATGGAGACTGGATATCTTTTTTGTTAGAGATTGTTATCTTCCTTCCCTTGGAAAAGGAGTCAATATATCACAAATCACCAAGAAGCAATGTCAGTGAGGTTAGCCAAAACATTGAATAGTAAGAAATGGACACAAGCAATTGTTAAGGTTCATCATAGGAAAACTTTCTGTGACTTACTGGTTTTAATTTTCCTGCCTCTTCTTTCTCCCCACCCTAGTAAGAAACTTTCTAATTTCCATTTACATTTATTGAATAGAATCAAATAGTCTGACAGAACCCTATATGCCAAATATAAAATATATCAATGCACTAGTAAATAGCTTTGCAAGAGGGAATCTTTTTTTTTCTTCAATATATGAAATTTATTGTCAAATTGGTTTTCATACCAAATTGGTACCCAGTGCTCATCCCAAAAGGTGCCCTCCTCAATACCCATC